AGTTGAATGCCTTCAATTCGAAGATGCTGGTGGTAAACAACCACAGTTCAAGTTCAACACCCAGAACAGAAACTGAAGGAAGAAACTACAAGCGACATATACACGTCAGCCATCAGGATAAAATGGGAGACATTGAGCAACATCCCTGGTGAAACCTGAGTGGATCAACACTGGAACTCCTTGAAAGAGATGTGGAAAGAAACCTGCATAGCCATGTTAGCAAGGAAGAAGAGGAAACAGGACAAGGAATGGATCTCCACGCACACATGGAAGCTGATAGAGGAGGGAGAGGAAGATGGTGATGGTGAGGTAGAAGGTGAACCAGTGTAGTGCAGTGCAGGGATGAACAACAGAGAGAGGTACTAAGTACAATTTGTAAAACACTACTCTGGACAAAGAAGTGAAGAAGAGTGCGCGCAGATACAAAAGACACTTCTACAACACACTTGGAAGTGAAGCGGAACAGGCTGCTGGTAGGAGAGATGAAGACCTGACAACATTATATCAAAGGACCAGATTACAGCTACCTGGAGGGTGGGGGGGGACGAAGAGATCAGTGCAGATGAAACCAACGAAAAATAGTGACGGAAGTGAAGTAAGCAAAGATGAGAAAAGAAGGAAATGATGAGCTGAACACTTCGAAACGCTCTTGAATCTCGACCACCACCACCATCACCACTACCAGCATCGATTCTGAAAATGCCTTCGATCGAGGTGTCTACCGCAAAGTAATTTGACAGGCAGCTGCTTCAACACTACGGAATACCATAAACCTTTATGAATCTCTTTCAACAGCTATATGAAGACGGCACACGCCAGATGATTCACAGAGGAAAGCTCAGTAACGCCTTCCTGATTGTGGTCGACTGGATCATGTAGCAAACTATGAGGAGCTGCGAGAAGGCTAGCACACGCTGGATAGATGGAAAGACCCTAGAAGATTTGGATTTCGCCAACGATGATGATTTATGTCTTAATATCGCACAAACTCAAAGATCTACAGGCAAAGCTAACAAGTTGGCAGAAGAGGCGAGGCAGCGAAGACGGAACTTCAAGTGAATGTAGAGAAGATAGAGGTGATGAAGACATCCAACCAACAGCAACACTAAGCACCAATCACCATCAACGGGAGAAATCTGAAGGAAGTTGTCTTGTTCACATACCTAGGCAGCATCGTTTCAACTACAGGCAGCGGCACACATGAGGATGTCAATGCCTGGAAGGGAAAAGCAAGACAGGTCTTCCTGCATTAATCTGAAATCAGTGTGAAGATCTACTGCACTCAGCATAAAGCGTGAACAACACCCGGATTTTCAACACCAACGTCAAGTCAGTGCTTCTATACGGTTCAGAAACTTGGCGCGTCATGTAAGGCGTTCCCAATAAACTACAGATATTCATCAACAGCTGCCGCCTACGCAAACTCGATACTGACACTGAAGATCAGATGAGATGGCCAGAAAGAATAAGCAACAAGGAACTCTGCTCTGGTAGCTAACCAACCAAGAACCTATCGGTGAAAAAATGTGCAGGAGGTGGAGATGGATTGGATTGGGCATACACTGAGAAAGCTATTCGGAGACATCATGCCAGGTTAGGCCGTTTCGAGTGGAATCCAAATGGGGAACGACTAGTTGGGCGTCCGAGGAGGGGGTGACATATAAGAGATCATGTGAGGAATAAATGATAGCTTGTAGGAGTGGTGGAGCCAGGTCGAAAAGACTGGAGAGAAGAGAGTGCAATGGAGATGTACTATCGAAGCCGTATGTTCCACTAGGAACCCAATGGAGAAATAATAACAATACGTCAGTTATCCACTGTCCCACACTTAAACTAATGAAGAAAACAGAATTTTTTCAATGACTTGATCAGCCACTTATTTATGTACTCAGCATATGATTAAACCTTACTGGACACTGTTCAACACGAAATAAACTGAAAGTTGATGAAAAAAAGTTTATAGGCTAAACGGTCGAAAAAGAAGCAAATTTATATTTTTACTGGTCGAAAATAGCTTTAGAAGTGCATATAACTGGAGAGTATATAACAGTGATGATGGATGGTAGCTGGTTGTGTAATCCAGGAGCTGCGTTTCTTCTTACTTAAGACTCTTCAGCTGGATGAACCTGCCTCCCTATTGACTGGTGTAGTTACCTCAGACGGATCCCGAGTAGGATGAAACGTGCATCCTGCATACCACTGCTAGCCAATATCAAGCGAACCAAAACTATGAAAACTCCAGGTATTATCAAGGCATCGGCATAGGAGCCTATCTGTCAACATAGGTAGATCAGTTATATCCAGTATAACAGCGGGAGGTTACAGGTATCAGCAAATAGTATACACATATATATAAAAGGTAGTTGGCTGATTGTAGATAGCAGTGGAATCCTATATACAAGTTCCTCCTTATTTGAGACTCTTCAGCTGCATGCAGGTACATCCTGCCAAACAAGCTAATGATATGTAAATATCCCAGTTGTCTGGTAAAGGTAGCGCAGAAATGCATCTTTAGGAAATTAACACAACATTTCATGAAGTCAAGACAAATATACACGTAAGAAAATATGTTCGCTGGAAGATTCTCTTCACTATAAACATTGACCTTCTTTTTTTCTACTTAAGCTTTATTCTGTGGACAATCCCATGTAGGTAGAGAATTGATAGGAAGCGGTCTAAATGGAAATCAACATTTTTAAATCATCCGTCTTTAAGATAGTTTTTTAAAAATTTGATGTCACTGTGTGGTCAGACCAAAGCTAATTGGACAATTTTATCCTACAGCTGACCAATCAGATATAAGCTATTTAACTTTTGACCTCGAGGTTTTATATGTTCATAAAAACTGTATATAAGTAATGTATTTTTGTCAAATAGTGTGTTCTTTACAGTCACAAACCGGTCTTTGTCTTCTGATATTTTTGTGACTCGGTGAACTACCAGGTATGAAGGAGGACAGTCGTTAATTGTATCCAGTCGATGTATTTCATCACGTTATTATCGTTCGCCTATTTCGCATTATTCTGTTAGTCACTTCAAGAATGATTTCAACGCCTGTAATAATTCAATGTATTAGTGATAAACACTGATCAAGAATATTAATTACATTATTGGAAAACGAAGAAACTCCGCAAGACCGAGAAACTTGTTTATAGAATATTCTGTGACTACAATAGCAGACTCCTTTTGCTAACTTCTCTTGAAATCTTTATCCGATTAGCTTCATCTTAATGAGTGTAAATTAGTATTCACAAATTCTGATTTTTGCATAAGTTACAGAAAGGAGGGATGTACATCCAACTGACGAGTTCTAAAAAGAACAAAGCTCACGTCCTAGATTCCACTGTTAGACACTATCCATCATGAAAATCCTATTTTTAATTCTTTTGTTTCCTTAAACATCAGATATTTAGAAACTGTATAAGATTGTAAAAGATTCAACTTGTAAAATCAGTAATGGAGTCAGAAACTTTCTGAACAAGTTGTTCCATCCAAAAATAGCTTCCTAAACCATTTTGTAAAGTCTGTGGGGTAAACTAGAGAAATTGTAGAGAGTGAATTGGTGTTTATCGTTTCATATTGTCTACTGGTGGCTAACAGTGTAGTGTAGTACTCACGTTTCATCCTATTGGAGACTCGTTAGTCAAGATGCTGATACTTTTAGCTGATTAGTCTTGAGTGGGATAATATGCAAGCCAGTAAAAGGCAAGTTGTAGCATGATGAATCTTTAGATAGTGTATCAAGACATTCGTTACGAACCCATGTGCCAACAGAGGTTGAGGATATCATCCCTGTGTCATAGCAGGAAATGACTATTATATTAAATTAAAAGTCCAACTTAGAACACCGGGTTACCGGCCCAGAGATCTACCAACTGAGCTACCACATACCACTACTCATCAGATTGTTATTTCATTTCAATCACTAAGGGGTTCTGCCTGACTAACATGTGAATTGGTGACGCACCACTACCACTTGATCATATTCACACTAGCTACCTAGTCAGGACTTCTCATTCCAATCGAAATTTAACTGAATTACAATGAGATGAGGGGAGCATCATATTGATTATCACTTTGACTCTCTGAGACAGTCGTTGTTTGTCAGACTAGTATTGATACTGACTTGGTGATGATTGAAGGTGAAATGAGAATTTGGACCGCTGCCGGACCTCGTAGCTCAGTTAGTAGAGCACCAGTCCAATAACTTGATGGTAGCTGGTTCGAATCCGACCGAGGTCAGCTGATACCTCTGAGTATAAAAAAGAAATCTGTTTTCTTAAAATTGTATTTTTTGAGGTTGTACAACTTTTTGTCGCCCACGTCGCCTAACGGTGAAAATGTAGGAGCACTGGATAGCTATTTCTTCCTAGTATGAGACTCCTCAGCAGTATGCATTCAAACCCAGAACCTTCCAGTCCCACGGTGAACTTTTTGGTGATTCAACCACTGTTTTCAAGTTCAATGGTCCATAGTTTACTACTTCTGTCAATTTACGATATAGCTGTACTTCCATCTGGTTGAACCCCCGCCCCTAAGTCACGGCTTCTTAATAGGACTTCAGGATATCCAACTCGAAGTATGTCATTATTGAGCAATATACACTAATTTTAATTTGGAGTTTGTGTCGATTCATTAAACCTGTACGATTCGGGAGTAGGGGGAAGGGAACGGTTTAGTAAGGGTTAAAATATGATTTTGGTAGATAGTTTCAACTTTTCAGTTGAATATACGTTGATTGACGTAAAACTGCTCAACTGATGATGAGTTGTCGTCGAAAGCGATGAAACAGACATTATGTAGTCCTTTTTAGAGCATATACTCTTGATTCGGTGATATATGAAGTTGATATGAAAACCCCGGCCAGTGAAGATTTCCAACTTCGCGGCTTCTTGGTTACCGGCCCATAATACTCTAAGAATTCGGCTACTTACAATCTATGACACTTTATATGGCAATTAATATTCAATGTATACAAAAAAACTAATTACACCACTAACCTTCTTGTATTCTTACGATAATAAGCAAACGTGGTCATAATCCATGCATAAATTTCATTCAATGTAATCTTTTTAGATAATTTTGAATTCATTGCTGAAACAATCAGTGTAATATAAGAGAATGGTGGTTTTACATTTGGATTATCATAACCAATTGATTGATATATTGATTTTGATTGATTTGAATAGATTTCTGATGATATTTTATCATAATCTATAGATTTATTTATATAATTATTACATGATTGTAATGATGGATTTGAAATTGATGAAGTATATGAGTCATACTTACATTTCACTTCTTGATAAGTTGGGTTATTTATCAATTCCAGGTGTTCATTTTTATAAATGGAGAAATTATTTGAATTATGAATATTTTGTTGAACGGTTGAATAAGCATTTTTAAAATTTGAAAATGATTCATCTTGACTAATGACCTTATTATTTTCAGTTGACAAATTTAAACAACGACAACAAAAAGTAGCTTCATTTTTAAGCTCTTGTAACTCATATACACTTGTTCTACTCTGTTGATTTTCACCTAAACTATTTGTATCATTTATTTTAGGGCGTACAGAATGAAAGGAACTTTGTCTTTGACAAGGTGATGATGAATATTTTAGCAAATTTGGATAATAGGTGTGTGATGATGGCGTTGACTGTAAAAAGGGAGTGTTTAAGTTAGTTAGCATGCTATCACCACTACTGATTCCATTCTCCATAAGGATATACTTCTGATTTAATGAGTCAGATAAAGGAATTCCCGGTGAATTTTCACATGTTACAACTGTTTCGTAGCATTTTGAATGAAAACAATCTAATGATGATTTGGATAACAGAATAGGAAGTTTAAAGGTGCTGAGTGTAGTACTCTGTGTCGCATGACTGTGTGTAGTAATGGTGGAGTGATCAGATGTGCATTTTGGCATGAAATAAGAGGATGATAGAGAAAAAGGATGATCAGATAACTTTACTTTGTCAGGTTTGTTGTTTATTGGATGTGAATTAAACTGAAACTCTCTAATCACATGACCAAATCTTTGTGCCATCACTTCTAGTGGTGACTGTGTAACGATACGCTTGAAACATGTGTCTATATTCTGTTGCGGATTTATAAATTCTCTTGTTGATGGTGTAGAACTGGACTCAACCTCTACGTTTGACATTTTTAGGCAACTTCCCCGGTTGTTATAAGACTGTGTTTTATGATTCTGTGTCAATGAAGAATAGTCATTTACAAATTCTGGGCTGTGATAATTTGATCGGTCAATCATTGCCTCCCTGAATAAATTCATTTCTTGTACGCAAACTTGGATAAAAAGCAGTGATAGTGACAATTAAGTTTAATTCATAATTCGTCCAATCAAATGTTTCCTCTATTTCAACAAAATCTTTTAGCCAATAAACGCACAGCCGTAAAAGTGGCCAATTAAAATAAAGCCAATGAAAAAAATGCGTGGCAAAAAAACAACATTCAGGGAAATCATTTTGACGTTTTCCCCTCTTAATCAAAAATATATTTAGAACAGCAGGTGCCTGGTAGACCACTGAAATAAACTTGGAAAGAAATAACTGATGGTAACGATGATGGATAGTGGCTGACAGTAGAGTCTTGGACACTTATTTCGTCCCAGTTGGGATTCGTCAACTGAATGCACGTGTCTCTTAGTCAATAATATTATTCTTATTAAGATTCAAACCCAGGACTAATCACCTCAACGCCATAGCGTTATTCATCAGGTCACTAAGTCACGACAATCACTCCTTGCGCGATGGATACAGAATGGTTTAGATGTTGGAAAGAAATAAATGAAGTAGTAAATCAGAGCATATTTTGAACTGACGACTATATATACTACAGCAATTATAGTATCCCTAGGCCTTTCCTAGTCGAACAGCAGTCTAGATATCAACTGATGAGGACAGCTGTTCGTCGAAATTAAGTCGGTTTATGGGGTAAACAGACAAATATCACTTTATACTCAAACGTCAGGTTGTCCAATGAATATTCCATCGAAATAATAAAGATTTCAATCAATAGAGAGTAATCTCAAACAATTCTATTTTAAGCAGAATGCATGAATTGAGCAAATTCATTCGTGAGGGTACCATAATTGGACTAGTTGGTTGCATGATGGTGACCTACTTACCTGTTCTATCCAGAATGTTGATCCATCGAGTGTAGATTGTGACTACCTACCTTAATGATATGATGGTGTAGTGCATTGCTGTTTTGGGGATCTGTTTAAGTTATGAATGACTCTTTGAAGGATTTGGTCAAGTACGACAACTAGTCACAAGATGACCTGAAGGTCTCCGTTGAATGAATGCTAGGTCACGTAAAACCCAATAGAAGCAGATAAGTTTTATTGGTTGGTTACTAGAAGGTAAACAACTTCATGTAGTCTAGTCCTAACTGCTGATCCAATTCTGTCGATCATTATGCAATATAGTCACCAGGCTAGGAGACTTCCTTTCACGATGCATGTTGACAGATGTTAGTTGATTGAAGAAAAACGGCAGGAAGCTTTGAATCACTTAGTTTTGTGCTTTTCGGGACTCATCAGTATGGCGGATCCGCAATATAGATGGAACTGATGTCTCTCCTGAAATTGCAACCCACATCACCAAGTGTTGCAATCAGTGACATTGGCACTGAGCTATTTGGGCCGTGAATGACCTCTTATGGAACTGGGTTAGGTACATTGATTGACTACGTCTTTCTGAAGAGCCCCAAAAAGCACGAAAGCTAGGCGATGCAACGCTTTCTGCCGACTGTCTAACCAAGTCATACAAGGGGTCTCTGACTGTAACATTAGGTAATGTGGGTTTGAATTTCACAGGCGACATTAGTTTCGTCCAGGTCACAGATACGCCTTGTTGACGGTTGTCAAAAACCGCGGGACCTAAACTGAGCAGAGCTTCCAACTGATTGCCTTGAACTAGCTAAGAGGCCTACACTTCATTGCAGCTGCAGCTTAAACATAGCTAGGTGTATCCACTAGAATAGGTTTCTTTAAAAAGCTTTTTAAAAAAATGCATACAAATCATTTTCCTGATGGTTATCAGTAATATCTTTAGCTGTAGACAAAGTTGGACATTTACTGCCTAATTCACTGTGATCATTCAATTTCATCTACTGCTGCAAGCCATTTCAGAATGTGATGTTTAATCCTCCATCACTTCTATAGATTGATGGTTCCTCTCAATGCACATCTGATCATACTTACATGTAAACTGATAAATGAAAATGTATATGGCCTGAACGTTCACTTCCCTATTTGTCTATAATGTTAACATTGACTTCACAGTTTCTCCCCCGAAATATCTGTGGTGACCTCACCAAACAGGAACTAACTATTTCCATCATAAACTCTCAAAATTTTTTGAAGCATACAATTTTTAAAAAAAGTGGTTAATTCTACTAACTAAGTCGAACATAAGGATAGTTACTCAACAACAGTATTGGATAGAGGTCAGGGTATATTGACAGAAGTAGGAAATATGAACTACTGAATGTCGACCCATTGATTCGATGGGACCTAAAAGTACTGGATTCTATCTCTGGAGAGCGAGTTCATGGGTAGTTACTACTGAAGAGTCTTTACAAGAACGAAGCAGCTTTTTCCAGTGCTCCTAGGTTTCCAATGTTTCTTCAACTGATATTAATCAATGATGAATATCAACTTGAAATTAATAAATAAGTCCTGATAAACTTCAAAAGTAAATCAACTAAAATAAATCAAGACTTTATAAAAGAACTTATTGAGAACAATCTTATTTGATACAACTTGTATGCCAACTATAAGGTATTTTTTTAAAAACTTTTTGATAACTGAACAATACTTCAACCAATCATAATGAATTAATATGTTCTACTTTAATGGAACGTGAGTAGCAACCTGATAGGTGGTAGTGAGCAAAGCTACACTAATCAGCCCACTAACTAATCAGATAAATTTTGATATTAATGATGGTTAGTAGTGGAATTCGTGGCACACATTTCATTCTTTTCAAGACTCGTCACCTTGATGTACCTGGTTCCTAGTGATTGATATTGTCCCCATTAAGACTTGAGGTCAATCGCTTCAAACACCAAAGGATTGTCGACTCAGCCATTGACTAATGATAATCACTACTTTGTGCGACGCGTGTAGTATAGTTTTAATGTTACAGTTTATTATTAGTGGAAATATGTGTCACGGATCCCACTGATAGCCACTATCTATCATTAATTTCAACAATGAAAATACTGCGAATACTCGCAGGAGCTCTCACGCTAATAGTAGCTGATCATTTCAGTGGTGGACTGCATCACGCAACAAACTGTGAGGAGCGAGAAGATGAGCATACACTGGTTGATGGATGAAAGACCCTTGAAGTTTTGGATTTTGTCAACGATGATGATTTATGTCCACTGTCTCGTCACACAAACTGGAAGATTTAAAGGCGAAAACTGACAAGTTGGCAGAAAAGGCGAAACAGGGCAGAGAAGGAAGACAGGACATCCTTCAGGCGAACGTAGAGAAGACACAGGTGATGAGGATATCCAACAACAACAACAAGCACCGATCACCATCAACACGAAAAACCTAAAGGAAGTTGTCTCTCTCACCTACCTACCTAGGTAACATCGTTTCAACTACAGGTGGCAAAGGCACAGGCACAGATGAGGATGTCAAAGCCAGCCAGCACTGCAGAGACAGCAAGACAGGCCTTCCTGCATTAATCTGAAATCAGTATGGAGGTCTAATGCACTGCATTGCACTGCACTGCACTCAACATAAAGAGTGAACAAAATGCAGATTTTCAACAGTAATTCAGTCAAGTCAAGTAAGTCAGTACTTCTATGTGATGATTGAGAGACTTGATGCCTTACGAAAAGCATTTCCAACAAACTTCAGACATGCATCAGGCAACAGGTGCCGTCTAGGCCTACACTCACTCGATAGTGAAGGTTAGATCAGATGGCGAGAAAAATAGTAATAAGCAACAAGAAACTTACTCTGGCTGGCTGGCTGGCAAGGAACCAACGAAGCAAGAACTCATCGCCCAACAAATATGAAGAAGGAGGAAGTGGAGATGAAAAGGATTGGATTGGATTGTGTATTCATTGAGAAGACGGTTAGGAGACATCACATGTCAGGCCAGGCCAGGCCAGACCGGGCAGTCTAGTGGAAGCCAAACGGGGAACGACTAGTTGGGCGTCCGAGTGAAGGGTGACATGGAGGAGATAGTGTGAGGAAGAGATGAGAGCTTGTGGGGAGTGGTGGAGTCAGGTTGAAGAGACTGAAGAGAAGAGAGTGAAATGGCGATGTGCTACCGAAGCCGTATGTTCCACTAGGAACCCAAGGGACCAATGATAAGAATAATAATATTTTGGTTCAGTGAACATCAGGGACAATCAGATAAATCTTCATGGAAAGATTCCATCAATGGAGATGAAGCTGATTTTTACAATGACTGAATCTTACAAGTTGAATATCAACATATTACGGTTGCACAGTTTAAGGTAATTTTGTAACATCCAAGATAATTATCATTTCTATCTCTAAGCCTTTATTTCATTACAAACGAATGTCAACTGAAGATCAGTTTATCGGAAACTTGTCCTATTTAAATAACAATGTGGCAATACGTAAAGTTTGAACTGTTTAGTTCTAACCAATCAACTGGACGGTAGCCGAATTATTTATAACAGTGGACAGACAGTCTTAAGCTCGAGTCCGTACAACTTTATGAGTGTATCTTCCTGAGAATCTCTTCTTGGCGTCAGTTCATAACACAGGTTATAGTCAAGTCCGTCATTTTATGGCTTCATTAACCATTTCATTCAGCAATATTAAAGTTGTCCACCTAACCATGAAAATCAATACTATACATTTAGAATTCGAACGCGTAAGCATAAATTCAAGAAGCGAGGAATTAAAAATACTATTTAAATACAGATGATCACACTTAATCGCTGATTCCTATAGTAAGAACAGGTTTGCAGTTTCCAGTGTGTCAATTTACCTCAAGATTTTACACAATGTCGTATATACTGCTTTTTAAAAGCCTTAACTTTGTTATAATAAGACTTAAGAAATGAATACCAGAGAGAAATATTGAGACTGTACTGAAAACATTTTGCTGTCTCGTTGATAGCTATCGATCGAATGTAAGATGTGCGTTTCGTTCTATCTGATACTCTTCAGCCGAATAAACCTGAGCCCTATTTTTAAGTGATGTTTTTCCCACCCTGTATGGTGGATGATGGTCTCAATATGTTGTCAGTCGAGAGAAGAAAAATGTC